CCCCCACAGCTATAAAACTGTGAGAGCTCGGGAGTTCTACCCCTATCAGGGAAACTCTCCCCCCTCCCCTTTGCCCGGGGAAGGGGATTCCAAGCCGCGGAGCAGCTGTTTGACGCTGCTCCTGCGGCTTTTACGCGTCCTCGGGGCAGGCAGCCAAAAGAATAGCTGCCATCGGCACAGGAATTCAAACCGGAAGTCCACAAATGCTATAATTTTAAGCCATTCAGAATCAGCAATGATTGGCTTAGCTTGTAAGCCTAGTTAAATAATAAATAAATAAGGTTAAGATCTGAATAAATTCCTTAAAAATAATGGAACTGTAATATTTTTACACCCAATTGAATGCAGAATTCCAGAGAATAGCTAGAAGAGATAAGAATGCCCTCTTAAATGAACAGTGCAAGGAAATAAACAACAACAACAATAGAATAGGGAGAACCAGAGATCTCTTCAAGAAAATTGGAGATATGAAGGGAACGTTTCATGCAAAGATGGGCATGATAAAGGACCAAAATGGCAGGGACCTAACAGTGGCAGAAGAGATTAAGAAGAGGTGGCAAAATTACACAGAAGAACTATACAAGAACCATCTTAATGTCCCTGATAACCACGATGGGGTGGTCACTGACCTCAAGTCAGACATCCTAGAATGTGAGGTTAAATGGGCCTTAGGAAAGCTGAGCAACAACAAAGCTAGTGGAGGTGACAGTACTCCAGCTAAGCTATTCAAAATCTTAAAAGACGATGCAGTAAAAGTGCTATACTCAATTTGCCAGCAAATTTGGAAAACTCAACAGTGGCCACAGGATTGGAAAAGGTCAGTTTACATTCCAATTCCAAAGAAAGGCAATGCCAAAGAATGTTCAAACTATCGCACCATTGCACTCATTTCACATACAAGTGAAGTTATGCTTAAAATCCTACAAGCTAGACTCCAGCAGTATGTGGATCGAGAACTTCCAGAAGTACAGGAAGGATTTTGAAGAGGCAGAGGAACTAGAGATCAAATTGCCAACATACACTGGATCATGGAGAAAGCTAGGGAGTTCCAGAAAAACATCTACTTCTGCTTCATTGACTATGCTAAAGCCTTTGATTGTGTGGATCACAACAAATTGTGGCAAGTTCTTAAAGAGATGGGAGTACCAGACCATCTTATTTGTCTCTTGAGAAACCTATATGCGGGTCAAGAAGCAACAGTGAGAACTGGACACGGAACCACTGATTGGTTCAAAATTGGGAAAGGAGTCTGGCAAGGCTGTATTCTGTCGCCCTGTCTATTTAACTTATATGCAGAGCACATCATGAGAAAGGCAGGGCTAGATGAATCAAAAGTTGGAATTAAGATTGCCGGGAGAAATATCAACAACCTAAGATATGCAGATGATACCACTCTAATGGTAGAAAGTGAAGAGGAACTAAAGAGCCTCTTGATGCGGGTGAAGAAGGAGAGTGCAAAATTTGGCTTGAAACTCAACATTAAGAAAACCAAGATCATGGCATCCGGCCCTCTCAATTCCTGGCAAATAGATGGGGAAGAAATGGAGGTAGTGACAGATTTTATTTTCCTGGGCTTCAAGATCACTACAGATGGGGACTGCAGCCAAGAAATTAAAAGACGCTTGCTCCTGGGGATGAAAGCTATGGCAAATCTAGACAGCATACTAAAAAGCAGAGACATCACCCTGCCAACAAAAGTACGTATAGTCAAGGCCATGGTTTTCCCAGTTGCAATGTATGGCTGTGAAAGCTGGACCATAAGAAAGGCTGAGCACAAAAGAATTGAGGCCTTTGAACTATGGTGCTGGAGAAGACTCCTGCGAGTCCCATGGACTACAAGGCGATCAAACCGGTCAGTCCTAGAGGAGATCAACCCTGACTGCTCTTTAGAAGGCCAGATCCTAAAGTTGAAACTCAAGTACTTTGGCCACCTAATGAGAAGGAAGGATTCACTGGAGAAGAGACTAATGCTGGGAAAGATTGAGAGCAATAGAAGAAGGGGACGACAGAGAATGAGGTGGCTGGATGGAGTCACTGAAGCAGTAGACATGAGCTTAAATGGACTCCAGAAGATGGTAGAGGACAGGAAGGCCTGGAGGAACATTGTCCATGGGGTCGTGATGGGTCGGACACAACTTTGCAACTAACAACAACAAAATACTTTTACTCCTATTTTTATTGGATTTTTTTTCAAAAGAGTGTATTGCTCTCAAATTTCTAAAGAAAATAGCACCCAAACCAAAGTGTAATAAAACTTTTTTTAATCAATTTCACTTGAACTAAGTTTTTATATCAAAGCTTCTTTACAACATAAAATCAAGCATTCTTAGTTTCTACTTGATCTAGCTGAAAAACAGATATTTAGATAGATGATGTCTGTGGTCTTTAGTGAAGAACAGAGATACTATGTAGCATACATACTTTTCTAGATCTTTATTAGATAGCAAACACTCACTTGGCAAATCCAATGAAGTCTTCATGGTTTGTGTTAATATAGGACAGCTCTATGTCAATCAACAGGAGAATCTGAAAAAGAATGGCAAGAGTTTCTCAGTTGTACAGCAACCTAATTTAAAAACTAATCCATCTAGTCTTTCATTCTGCATTTGGAGAAGATCATTTATGGCAGGGGTGTCAAACTGCCGGCCCATGGGCCGGAAGCGTCATCCGGAAGCCATGCCCACCCCTTTGCTGGCAATGGCAAAACCGTCCCGATATGTTGCACAACATCACGTGACGTTGCAAGTTTGACATGTCTGATCTATGGAGATTAACATTTATTTATTTACATACACACATAAATTTAAAGAACACCCAATTCTAGCCAATATTGGACACTTAACAGAATAAAAGCCAGAACAATAAAATAAAGGAACAGACTACAATGAATAAAGAAAAACATACTGAACAGATTTTACAAGAATACAAATCTTACAGGGTTCACCCACCACCCTATACTCCAATCTCCAGGTTGCTTTGTGCAGATTTGCACATTGGGGAAACAAAACAATCACTTCATAAACGCATGGCACAACATAGGAGAACAAACCCATCAGGATAAGATTCAGCAGTCCATTTGCATTTAAAAGACAAAATCCGCATTTTGGACAGAGGACTGCTGGTTTGAAAGAGGGGTCAAAGAGGCCATCTATGTCAAAATTGAACATACCTCTCTGAACAGAGGGGGACGGATACAACATCATCTATTTCTAGTGTACAACACAGTCCTTTCAGCAGTTCCAAGAAGGCTCCACACCCATTTGCACTACTCAGGTGACCCTGAGGACACAGGTAAACCTCCAAATGGCCTCAACAACTCTCTAAAAGAATGCAAATGACCAGCTGTCTGCAAGGAATATAAATCCTTCCATTCCCTACCATCCAGTCAGAGCTGAAGAAACTTCTTGGATGAGAAGTGAAACGTTTTCAAAGAAAAACAAGAAAATCCAGTTGCCTCTTGAAAAAGCACCTTTGGGATACCCTACTAACCTTATACTGGTTTCCTAAAAATTGCTTTATTTTAAAAAGACCCTAATCTGAGTTTGCATTTTTCTCAACTACTGCAGCTCCTCAAAAGGATTACAGGGAAAAATGCAGAGAGCTGGTTTGGTCCAGCTAATTGTTTTTAAGTTATGGCTTCAAAACCTATCTACACTGCCCTCAAATAGAAGTACTATAAATCCTACGCTGTAATCCTAGTTCAGTATTTCACAATTGTTCAGCATCAAAGTTGCTGAGACTGAAATTACTAACCTAAAAGTAAGTTCAGCTCACTACAAATATTAAAAAACAAGGAAGGATTCATTTTTAAGAACTATTTTTTTCAATTCTGATCCTTCTATTCTTGGCCAGTTCAAAAATTTATCTAGAAGACAAGAAAGCAGACTGTTTACCTGGTCTTTAGTTTTTCCTTCACGTTCTCTGATGTATGTAGTAACAATTCTCTCTGTCTCTTCTCGCAGCCTGGGATAGGAACCAAGCTAAGGACAATAGGATAAGACATCACATCTCTGCAGCTTTAAGCACTATTTACACAGAAATACAAGGAAAAAGGTCTGGGTTGGGCTGCTTCCCTTCTTTCATCACTGGGGAAGGATTGATTTACCAAGTAAGAGAAATTTATTTTTATCAATTTAGAACAGATCCATTTTAATTTATTAATCTATTTTGACATAATACTTCCCTAATACTCCTCCAATGATCTTCTGGGAAATAGCCCACGATCCTTCTGGGATTTAGTAGAAGAAAAGAGTACACAGAAGACTGGCTTCTTAATATCACAGGGAAAATAAGAATTGATTGTTCTTTTTTTTTTCTTAGAGAGAATTGTTCATTAAATATTGTATACATTCCAAAGCATCTTTCATGACATACATGTTTAATAAAGAGAAAATACTTCACAGGAAGTCATATAAAGTGTTCCTTTTGTTCCATTTCAAATCAAATACAACTATAGTTGCTATAATCCAAGACACAGCATTACTATTGGATTCAATTGTATAGCCGATCCATGTGTAAGAAACCACAGGAAAGGAACTTATATCTCAATTAATCAAATGAGTAACTGACTCAAATGATTCAAGAGAACTAAGCCAATAATTAACTAGAAGAATGGAACTTTGTGTAATGTCCAGTGCTTCTTATTTGAATGCATTCAGGTTTTCACTTAGCTAGTAACCATATGAAGCCATACTCCTGAAGTGTTATCAAGAGTTAGGGAGATAGCAGAAAAGTGGAAAAAAGAGTATAGACCCATTACCTTCTCTGAACACTTTTTAATGACCATGGCCAGCTCTGAGACCACCAGATCAACACACTTCAAACTGGGCTCTTTGAGCTTTATAATCTGTTTTTTCACTATTGTTTCAAAAGCCATATCAGGTGTGAAGAGCCCCGTCCTGCACCATGCAGAAAGCATGAACACAAAGGAGAGATTCCGAAGAATAGAGGAAAAATGACAGAGAGGGAAAAAGAGATTGAAAAGGTCAGTAGTGTGCAAAATGAAAAAGCAGCAGCACTTCCTTAAGAAGATCCTTCTTGAATTGTCAAAATGAGCAATTCCCTTCCAAGATCTTTCAAGAATTATGCTCCTCAGCAGCCTCAGACAGGATTCAAATCCTGCAGCAAGTGGACTGTAATCCAACTGTCTCATCCTTGTAAAGTATTCCATGTCACAGTAGTCTTCAGTAAAAGCATGGAAGTCCATCTCTTACTTGCTATTCTCAAAACTCATGAAAATTGTTTCAGTATAGTGACAGGGAAAGAGTTATGGCTGTGCCTACAGCTATCCTGTTGGTCTAGAGCATAATTGGCCAACTTATGGCACATGGGTTACAAGCACAAATATAAACATAGAAAAGAGCACAAAAACTTCAAGGTTTCTGATTATGTCAGAAGCACACTTAAAGTGTTGCTTTGCTGAAGAGCTGTGCTAGCACCAGCTTTTTGTCTCAAAAGACTAGACATAAACTTCTTTCAAGCACTGTGCTTTGCACAGAGTAATAGCACCTCATACATAAGGTTTGACTTTGGTTGGCTGCCAATGTCTGAAAGCCTTTTTATTTAGCAGGCAACTAGGGCATATAGTGTGGGGAAAAAAGAAGGACATTGGTGATGATTGACACTTTTAATAAATAGAATTATTGACTTTCTACTTCTACAATAGATAATTAGCACAATCACTGGAACATGAAACTGAGATATTGTTTGTCTGACTAAATCAGAAGACACAAGACTCATGTAACTTACTGGTTTTCCATGTATTCTCCAGCCATGTCAATGAAAATATTTCTGTGTAACATGTAAGTTTTCTATGTGCAGAGCAAATAGTTTGAACTAGGAAAAATTCCAGGACAGTATATAGGCCCTTACATGCATGATGGCTGTATAAGTAAAGAAGAGACCTCTTTCAGAAATCAGCACTTCAACTGCATCTCAGTGCCCACAGTTTGCCCAGAAAAAGTCCAACAATGCTTTCTTGGCCATTTAGCTCAAAAGAAACGCCGCTACCAAAAAATGGAACTAATAACCAATACCTCTTTGCAGTAGCAATTACATGTAGTCCTATTTTATCATTCTTATAATCTCTTTCTCTGTCATCTTGAATAGATTGAATAGAATAGAGCTGGAAGGTACCCTGGAGGTCTTCTAGCCCATCCCCCTGCTCAAGCAGGAGAACCTATACCATCTCAGACAGGTGTTTGTCTAGTCTCTTCTTAAAAATCTCCAGTGCTGGAGCACCCACAATTTCTGGGGTAAGTTGTTCCACTGGTTGATTGTACCTGTTTTCCATACTCACATTAAAATGTCTTATAAAATACTTTTGGGGAAAGACTTCTGTAATGAATTCTATGGTATCTCAGTACAAACCAGCTGGACAACTACTATTGTAAAAGCCCTGCATGGCATAGATCCAACTTACTTGATGAACCATCTCACTCCCTGGAACTGGCCTACCCCACCTGCACTGGCAGAGGCGGCATGCTGCGGGCCCCATCAGTCTAGGAATTCCAGCTAGTGGGATCCAGGAAAAGGACCTTCTCTGCCGTGGTTCTTGCCCTTTGGAACATCTTATCTCCTCAGATGAGATTGGCTCCCACCCTTTCGACCTTCCACAAGAGCTTGAAGACCTGACTCTGCCAAATGGCTTGGGGTGCTGATGGAGGAACATTACTCTGGAGGTGGTTAATGAATTAAGAGGCAATCCCACCTCCATGCATTCTGCTCCCTCCTTCCCCAACTTTTAACTATAATTTTAATTTTATTTTTATTGTAATTTCCAGGTGTTTTTTTTAGAAATATTTATGTTAGGATTTTAATGTTTTAATGCTGTAAGCTGTCCATAGTTGTTTCGATACCAGATGGGCATCAAATAAATTTGATGGATGGATGGATGGATGGATGGATGGACGGACAGACAGACAACAGGAGATTCTGTTGCATTTGAGTAAGTGGGACTTGAAGGACCTTGGACAGCAAGTGCTGGCTTCTTCACAGTGTATCAATAAAAGCTCAATTCCTCAGTCAGAAACAGATTTAATCTATCACATATAGCACTGCAAAAGTCAAGCAATGTAAACTGCTCTTCATAGAGTGTTCTTCAGTACTTTGCTAATTATAAAAAATATTAAGAAGATATACAGACAATGAGATCCTTAAATCTTGGTTTGGACAGCCTACTTTTGAGTCCAAAAATATAATCAGAGAGAAGTCAGTTTCCTGAGAAATCAGGTTTTAAACATATGGCCAAGCCAATTATACTGAAATGATGGAATTCCTATTTGAGAGAGACTTTTAGAACAGAGAGAGCGCATTACTTCAACCAATGTAGTTAAGATTAAATTGCAAAAACAACTTTAGCTTTATTGGCTCTGTTGCTATGAAAAAAATTCAAAGAGAGTGGTTGAAATGGCAGATCAAGAAGCCATGCACTTAATAGAAAGCCAGGATCCAAGAAGAAATCTGCTCGCTTTGAACAACCTCCAGACAGCCCACAAATGCTTCTGTTCGATATCAAAGGATGAAAATAGGAGAGAGCTAGGGCTAACTGAAATGTGATACCAAGATTGTTGTCTGGACCACATAATGCTGTATTTAAGCATTTTATAAAAATATAGGAAACAGGACAATCTCAACTTTAGCCAATCAAGATTTTAGATGAAGTTTGCAGCAATTCTTGGAGGTTGTATTTGGCAAGTTGGGAAAAATAGAATAGTACAGTTTTAGGTTTTTCCCAACCCAGTCAAGTAAGAGCTCAATAGCTAGTTCAATACCTTACTGGTACACTGCCTAACTGTATTGATTAATTCCTGAATAACCAAGTCGACACACTTCAAACAAGGCTCTTTCAGCTTCACCACCTGCTTTTTCACAATGGCTTCAAATGCCAAGTCTGGTGTGAACAGTCCCGTCCTATATCAGCACAGGGAGGACAAAAGAGCATAAACACAGCAGAGAGAAAAAAGGGGGAGGAGGGGAAAAAGAGATTTAAATATGGGCAACATTCCAGAACACAATTCCCTCCCATAACAGACAGCTTTTCTGTTGCAACAAGCCCCTCCTTTTGCTAGTAATGTTAGTTAAATAATATAGGGATGGAACAAGGACTTCAGAAAATGAAGATTATAGAAAGAGATATGAACATTCATATTTGTTATTGAAAGATATTTTGCAAACTGAATTTGTAATGTGCTTCTTTATAATGCTTTTATAATATCTTTGAATATAAAAAGGAAATGCCAATATTATTGATTTTAGGAGAAAAATTTTTTCCTGTACTATTTATCAGAGAATTAGAATGTGGAAGTGTGAAAAACAGCTAACCACAAAATAGATCACAATGGGTATTTTTGTTTTGTCAGAGAAAAAAATAACTGTTCTGGAAGCAATGGATTTTGCTTGCTGCTGCCCCCCCCCCCAGCAGCTAGGAATAACAGAAAATAGTAACTTATCTTTCTTGTGTAATAGCAAGAGTCACCTAGCCTATAGCTTAGCGATCTATAAATACAAATCAATATAATCTCAAATTCAACATATGTTTCTGTCAACTACATCTTCATTTGCAATATAAACAAAATAAAGAATTGCTAGATGGGAGGGAATAATCATATAAGTGCTGTGCCATTCCCCTTGCCATCCTGTTATAGCAGAAATCAAAAACTTCTCAGTAGATTTACAATCTGATTTTCTAAGAGCTTTTTCCATCCTCCCCTCTAGCTGAAATTCTTTCAGAAAAAAAGTCCCCTTCCTTAGGCAGGGGGATAACTTTGGGCCAGTCACTCTCTTTCAGCCTAACAATGTTGTTCACTGCTTTGAAATATTTATAAAAATAATAAAAGTGGGATAAAAATAAATAATGTTTCAGTGCAACATTCTCATCAACATTTTTCTTTTTGATTTCAAGATAATGGGAAACAGTTTCAGTAGCAAGGGCTTCCCAAACTATCAGCTGCTTTGGATGTCCCAGATAAGTATCATTATGTACATTTTATGCCATGTACATTCAGTCCAGTCTGAATACTTGCCTTATACCATGGATATTTTTGATTGCATAGCTGATTTCACGTCGCAAATCTTTCTCATCAAACTCCATCTAAAAGAAAAACACTGATATATGACCAAAAGACTTCTCCTTTTCTTCCATTTGCAGACCTTTTTCAAAAAAATCTGCATTTATGTGAAGTCATGATTGACAATCATTTTATAATGCAAACCTATGTCAAGATACAACATCTGAGGACATAATAGCAAGAGCAAGGTACTCATCATAATACATCATCACCAGTGGAAGGAGAGCATCTAGAAACAGGGAGCTCCTCTCATCCAATCGCAGGGATAAATTATGTTTCCATCTAATGGGAGAAGGGCCGCTGATTTTCACTGTACAAGTGAAGGGCATCTATATGCCCTACTCTTTGGTCAATGTTCAAGTCATAGCAACAATGATGCTGTCTACTAATAATTAGTCTCCAGATTTGAAAGTTGGACAGCCCAAGTGTAAGGAAGCCCAAGTGTTAGGAAGCATATTATGCATCTGTTCTTCAAAACCGATCTTGGAAATTTATCGGGATCCATAGATAAAATCTTCAACATACAGTTGAATGCTTTAATTACTAGATGACCTTATATTATTATTTATTTTTTTATAAACATTTTATTGGTTTTTAACTATAACAATCTCCAGTGCCTGGTGTACAGTGTGTTGTCTTGGTTTATATTTTAACAAGAAAAAAAGGACAATAATAATTAATAATCAATAATGATTAAGTTTTATAATTCCATAATTAGTATATTAATTAATGATATATTTCTTTGATCTTCCCTTCTCCCATTTATATTCTCCTTCTTCAACCTTAACCAAAATATAATTCTTAATATTTTCAATATATAAACCATTATAGGCATTTTTATAGCTATACAAATAGTAATCTCTATGTATGACATTTTTTTCAGCTTATATTATTCTTATAACCATCATCTCATTAGTTCAGCATGCATCCTACTTTCATAATTTTTGTTTACACTTAATGTCCCTTATATTCCATCCAATTCTTATCAGTCATAATTCTTCGTATGTTAGTCATCTAACTGTCTCAATTTTCCCATTTAAGTACATCATCCCAATATTTTATGTCATGCATTATAAAAATACTACACTTTTTATCTATCTTATAGTATCTAGATATAACATCCTTTTTAATTAGTTTATATTTCACTTATATTAATAAAAGTTACATCAACCTGCTATTTTTACATTTCACATATTATGGAACATACTATATTACTTAAATCTCTTATCCCTCTTGTTATAGGGCTCCTTTATGTTCAAAGTTCTCTATTCTTTTAGCCATACTGAAACAAATGTTTGTTCACAAGGCTTCCAGTTCCGGATCGCGGCACCAGCGGACGCACTGGGAGAGCACTCTCTCTGCTGCCCGGTTCCCTTCGTCAGAAGACCCTGGAAAGGGTCGAAAGTCACCCTGGAGGGGTGACCATTGCTGAGGAGTACCCTCGACAGATTGCGGAAGGACAGCAGCCCTTCCGTTTGATCCAAGGCAGCTCCTTTGGACCGACGAAGAAAAGACCGGCCATTAACATGGCCGATCACTAAGCCGTACCAGCCAAAAGCCAAAAGCACTACCAAGCACAACGAAAGCAACGTGGAGGAACTGGGTGAGACCTTACTTTACCTCTCCTGCTTCCCAACTACTTTCCTGTAAAAGCCTTTGGAAATTCTTTTTTCCCCCTTCTTAACTTGGCGGCTTCTGCCTACTCTGGAAATACAAAGCTATGGAAAACAAAAAAAAAAGAACAACTAAACTAAATAACTAAATAATTGGACTTTTAATTTTTGGATACCTGGGGTCCCAAAAGGTTTCTATTCCTACAGAGACTTATTATCTTACCTATCTGTTAAGCTGGAAAAAAGAATATTTATTTTTCTTTTTAAACTGGATAAAAGCCTAATTTGAGTTTGGGAAAGATTTTACATGTTACTGGGGACATTTTGTGGCGAAATTTGGTACAGCAAGTGAATTTTTTCTTCTGACTAGGAGACCTGCCAGACTAAGACTTGTCCTTGACACTATCAAAAAAGATAAGAACTTGAATCTGCTGGGTGGTGAAAACAACTCTCTATAGTGGAGGTGGACATTTATTGACTTTTATCAAAATAGCTTCCACTAAAGGACTATCTTTAAACACCACAGAAATGGAGGAATACTACCCACAACTTAACTACAAACTTATACTTGAAAAAATCTTAGAGGCTACTGAGCTAATGAATTCCAGACTGAAAGATAAAGGCGCCACCTCAAAGCTACAAAATTCAGCCCAGATTTCAACTGATGAAATTACAACTCAAAAGGCAACAGAAGAAGGAATTGACACTAAAGTGGACTTTAAAGAATACCAGCTACAACCTACTCAGAACCCTGATACCAAACCTTGATTTCAACTAAAAAAACCTGCAATTCTAACAGCAACAGAAAGTGAACAAAGTAACACTAAGACGGAAGGAGCTGAAGACCTGCTTACACAGCACATTGAGAATTTAGATAAACCAGACAACCAAACAACAACTACAACATTGAACATGACTTTTTATTTAAATCAGCTGAAATCGGAAGAAGAAGAAGACCAGTCTGAACTGACGATAAATATACTAAGCCAAACATGGAGATTCAAGTTATTAGGCCAACAATCTAATGACTATGAAGGGACCAGCTTCCTTGAAAAATTGATAACTGGATGGTCTCCCTTGATTCAAATGACATGTGAAGGAATGAAGGGAGATCCACCTGAGGATTTAAAGGCTCTGCTACGGAAGCCTGTTTGGCACAAAAGAAAAGCCAGAGTCAGACTTAAAAAATGGGATTTCTTTATGTAACCTTTAATGGAAGAGCCTAAAACCTTATTTAATGGGCTAAGGAGATTTTAAAAGACATTAACTGGTTTAATACTTAGGATTTAGACTTATAAGGGAACTAAAAACTAATTATTAGAATAATAGTTTTGAATTATAATATAGAAGATGGATTGAGATGATAAAGGTTATTTTATTACTAAGTGATGATATTAGGATAAGAAATAGAATACGATTGTGAAATAAAGTAAGAATTTATTTGAGTAAATAATGTGTATCTTAGATATGATAGCTATTTTGTAATGAACTAAGGGAACCATGGGCTATCCGAAACCTAAATACTATGGACACTAAGCTAACTGGAATACTGTAACTGAAATTAGATAAAAGTTAAAAACAGGACATGGAGACATATAAGTCAAAAGATATTGATAAATGTTTTAACCGATTGAGTTATAACTAGCAATGTATCTACTTGAATGTGAAATAACCAAGGAAAACAGAGAGAAAATTTTTGATGATGTAACCAGACATACCGTATTTTTCGCACCATAAGACGCACTTTTTCCCCCCCAAAAGATGGGGGAAAATGTCTGTGCGTCTTATGGAGCGAATGCCTCATCCCACCCCACCGCGCCAGCTGACGGGCGCAGGAGATAGGCGCCGCCGCGGTCTCCCAGCCGCTTGCTTCTTCGTCTGGAGCAGTTGTAAGGGCTTGCATGTTCGCCGGCAGCGGGGAGCGCGTCAGCAGCCCTTGGGGACCATGCAAGCCCTTGCAATTGCGTGCTTCTTCGGCTGGAGCAATTGCAAGGGCTTGCATGTTCGGCGGCGGCGGGGAGCGCGTCAGCAGCCCTTGGGGACCATGCAAGCCCTTGCAATTGCGTGCTTCTTCGGATGGAGCAATTGCAAGGGCTTGCATGTTCGGCGGCGGCAGGGAGCGCATCAGCAGCCCTTGGGGACCATGCAAGCCCTTGCAATTGCGTGCTTTTTCGGATGGAGCAATTGCAAGGGCTTGCATGTTCGGCGGCGGCAGGGAGCGCATCAGCGGCCCTTGGGGACCATGCAAGCCCTTGCAATTGCGTGCTTCTTCGGATGGAGCAATTGCAAGGGCTTGCATGTTCGGCAGCGGCGGGGAGCGCGTCAGCGGCCCTTGTGGACCATGCAAGCCTTTGCAATTGCGTGCTTCTTCGGCTGGAGCAATTGCAAGGGCTTGCATGTTCGGCGGCGGCGGGGAGCGCGTCAGCGGCCCTTGGGGACCATGCAAGCCCTTGCAATTGCGTGCTTCTTCGGATGGAGCAATTGCAAGGGCTTGCATGTTCGGCGGCGGCGGGGAGCGCGTCAGCGGCCCTTGGGGACCATGCAAGCCCTTGCAATTGCGTGCTTCTTCGGATGGAGCAATTGCAAGGGCTTGCATCTTCGCCAGCGGCGGGGAGCGCGTCAGCAGCGGGGAGCCCTTGACGCGCAGCGAGGGTCGCTTCCCTCTGCACCTAAAGCCCCCCTCCTACTTCTCTTGAGGGAGTAGAACTAAGCCTGCGGGGGCAAAGTCTGACTGCGGGCCTTCCTTCTCTCCTGGACGCAAATCGCCCGAAGCCGTGGGAAAGCAAGTGCCCCTGAGTTCTGCCGGCTCGCTTCCCAGAGACCTCCTTTCCGCACCTCCCACCTTTGGAGGACGGCTCTCTCTACCCGATCCCAACCCTCCTCCCTCCCCAGGTTTGCGTCCCAGTTAGGGGCCCGATCCCAACTTCCATCTAAGGAACTCTAGAGTCAGTCACATCTGATTACGGTAAGCTTGCATGGTCGCCGGCGGCGGGGAGCGCATCAGCAGCGGGGAGCCCTTGACGCGCTCTGAGGGTCGCTTACCTCTGCACCGAAAGCCGCCCTCCTACTTCTCTTGAGGGAGAACTAAGCCTGCGGGGGCAAAACTGACCGCGGGCCTTTTCTCCTGGACGCAAATCGCCCAAAGCCGTGGGAAAGCACGTGCCCCTGAGTTCCGCCGGCTCGCTTCCCAGAGACCTCCTTTCCGCACCTCCCACCTTTGGAGGACGGCTCTCTCTACCCGATCCCAACCATCCTCCCTCCCCAGGTTTGCGTCTCAGTTAGGGGCCCGATCCCAACTTCCATCTAAGGAACTCTAGAGTCAGTCACATTGCATTTCCACA